TGCATTTTGTGTTTACTTGTGTTATCTTTGTCTAATATTTCAATTTGTTTGATGATCTGAAACATTTCAGTGTGACAAACATGCAAAAAAATAAGAAATCAGGACGGGGGCAAACACTTTTTCACACCACTGTATATATTATTGTTGTGAGGTATATAAATCCATATGGATAACCACTTCTTCCAATTCAGGATTGCGGGGGGAATCGGAACCTATCCTGTCAAGCAGCAGGCACAGGGCAGGATACACCCTGGAAGGAACACCAGTCCTTCACAGAGCAGATACACAGAAACACAGACACAAACCCAGGGACAGTTTTCTAAAAGTCAACTAACCTACCAGTATGTCTCTGGACTGTGGGAGGAAACCCACACAAACACGAGTAGAACATATAAATTCCATACAGATGGCACCCCGGATATGGAATTAAACCCGGGGACCAAGTGATACGAGGCACCAATGCTAACCATAGACTACCATGCTGCCCAGGGTGTATATTTGTTCATTAAGTACTGTACAGTATATAAAAAGAAAAGTGTAAATACCAAAGTAGTATTGAATAATACTCATTATGGGCTCTGGATAAACTCTTATATTTAACATAAGAAACTTATGTTATGCTAACAGTAACAAATAACTGAATTATTTTTGCAGATATGGATTCAGCTGTTTTACAGTGCCTCTTTCTGGTGGACATTTTGCTATGCAGTGGATGTCTTTTTAGTTGTTAAAAGATCAGCTGGACTAAGGTACGTCCTGTTGATAATTCTATGTCAGGTTTGATTCTTTAATAATAAGGATGAAAATCTCTTTTCAGGGACTTCACTCATTCAAAAAGGTTCCATCCATTAATAAAATATACTGAATTTATTTAGGGAGTACTATGCTTTGCAGTAAAACTAAATGAATATGGAAAGCTGAAACCAATACAAGGCTATTAAGAAAGCTCATTATTTTGGGTCTTCTCCTTGAGATAACTGACCTTTTATTTTTAATGCTACAGAAAATGATACAAATGAGACAAATAATGTTTTTTTCTGATATTGAAAGGTAACCAACACATCTCAAAATTAAAATATGTATTAAAATATTGCTTTGAAAGAAAATGTCTATGGGAAATCCAACCAGTCATCTATCAGTCTTAAAATAGAGAGCAGTTAGAAATGACATCATATAGATTAACTGTTAAATTTAAAATATAACAGATGTACTAGAAAGGAATCAACTTTAGAAAAGGCACATTGACGGTAATAAAAGAGGAAGGGAAATCAGATTACAAAAGACTACAGTAATTGTTACACAATAAGTTTAGTTTTTGCTAAGTAAGCTGAAAACTAAGAGTTGTGAATGTGTTCCTACACTAACCCATTTCAAAAGGGTTTAAGAATTTGGAACATCCAGCATCTCTTTCCTCATAGTATTTGTATTAAAAATATTAATTTATTGTTTGAACTGAAATATATATAGTATATATAGTACAAATTTATATCTACAGCAATGTATTTAAACCTTTTAAAGATCTTAGTGATCTTTTACATCCAGAGGTCAGATGTGTTCTGCACAACAGTCAATATAAAAGCTTCACAGGGAGAAAAGGCAAGGCCATGTGTCAGCTCATCAGTGCTTGTGAACACTCACGCTGCCGCCCCTCTGTTTCAGCACAATTGTGTTGTACCACATGATCACCTGGGGCCTGGCAGTGCTGCTGTGTGTGGAAGGCGTGGCCATGCTCTACTACCCTTCCATTTCAAGGTGTGTTTAAGCTTTTCTACAGACAAGCACTGGGTAAGAACCCTTCCCTGTCAAAGGCGTGAAAGGTCCATGTGTCGCTTCATCAGGTAGAATTACATTTTATGTGCTTTGGGATGTGAAGACACAGCAGGTTTTTATTATACATGCTTGGTCAATCCATAGGAGCTGAAGTATTATTGACAAAAGAAGCATTTCTAGAATATTGCAATTTTGCTTTTCAAAACTCAAACAGTGATATGAGTAGTGCAAAATGGTGCTTTGTTCACACACTAGGCTCAGAACCTTACCATTTTACTGTATTGTATAAAAGCACACTTTTATGACACAAAAATGTTTGGCATACATATAATGATTCTTCAAGAGAAGTCTCAAATTTGTAAGTGAATGGGGTATATCGGGGTATAACTTCTAGAATGGCTATAAAATTAAATTCAAATTGCATTAAGCTTGTTAACTTCCAGTGGAATAAAACAATTAATTCTGGTAGTTAACTTGAAGGAAATCTTTCAGCACAAGAACTGGGGCGAACCGTATTACAGCTGGCGCACTAACATGAGATTCGAATTCCAGCTGTGAAAATGGACTAGAACATGCTGTGCCTCACTATATCACCACCTACGCTCCCATGTTGCTTGTCCTAATTGTGAACCCAATACTGTTTGGAAGAACAGTATCAGCCGGTGAGTACATTTACATTCTTTAGTAAATCTGTTCATCATTGATGAATCTATTTTATTATTGTGACTTTGTTATATGAACCCATGCACTAGAACAAGTAGAAGGCTCAAAAGCCAATACCTTGTGTTTCTTCTTTCTACTCTTCAAAGAGGAATTAGCCTCTGCTTGTTGCTTGTGCACTGACACAGCTACCCACTCAAATGCCTTTTAGCAACACACTTATCCATGTGTTACATGCCCATGTGACCTACAGTTTTTCATACCTTCTCAACACCTATATGTGTGACTAATTCATGCAGTTGCTGTAAATAGCATAAAACTGACAGTACATCACAGTGCCATTCAAAAACTTAGAATCAGTTTGTACAGAGGAGCTGGGAGACAGAACAGCATTGTTCCTTCAGGAATAGTTTGTTTCCCAATACATCCGATTTGAATATTAAAAGAAAGTCAAGATCTGTTCAGAGAAACTGACATTTGTGCATTGGCTTTGAAGTTAAATATTTACCAAACCTTGAGCGATATTTTGAAGCAAAATTGTATTCATATAAATATACCCTTATTTCATTTATCAGATGAGACACACAGTTCTCAGTTTCATAGCTGCAAAACTCTGTCAGTCCTGACATTAGAACTGCGATGTTCGATCATCAAAAGAAATCACTTATACTTTAACTACAATAAATGGAACAATACACCAGAAAAATAACTACAATAGCAGGTGCACAAATTTTAATTGAAGAGACAATCTTAGCTGATTACTGTTCCTCATCAACAGGGGGTCTACTCCAAAAGTCACAGGCTAACAGCGACTGTGGCACTGGAAGCATCACATGCATTTGTTTTGTCAATAAGGGAGCATGTTGGGTTTCTTTCTTGATTTTCACAGGAACTGACTGTCAACAGACATGACTGTGCACACACATGAATTTCCAAGCATTTGAGACAGCAAAACATGAACAAATGCGATGCACATATTAATCTAAATAATTATAAAGGCATATCTAGTTGAGCAATTTCAAATCTATAAGCACTCAGAATCAACTGTGAAAATATTTCACAATACTTGACTATATTACAATAAATTAGGTGTCACATACCTACATGTGTGACATGGGATATTACTGTAGGTGTACAGCAGGTCTATAAAACAGTTACTTCAAATGCTCACATTTGATGTTTTTTTCCAATGCAGTGACATCACTGCTGAAGGGAAGGCAAGGAATTTACACTGAGAATGAAAGACGACTGGGGACAGAGATAAAAATACGCTTCTTCAAGATTATCTTGGTTTTCATTATTTGGTGAGATTTGTTATCAACTTCTGAAATGTAAATGGTATTTCTTACTGAATAAATCACTGCAAGACTCTTAGTGCATTAGACCAGACACATCCCTTTCTGGGGAGCTACCTGGAAGTGTAAATATAACATTGCACTCACAAATTCACAAAGTAATACTTTGCATGGTTATTACTCTAAATGTGTCAGTAAATCCATGCAGTACTGAATACCAGTTTGAAAACATAATATCTCAATTGTACTGTATCAGTGGAATTTCTGTAAAATGTATATCCTTTACAGAACCAAATCAATAAGTGTCTTCAGGCACTTCTGTGTGAAAAACAAGCTTTAAAGATAGGGAAATGAATAAACAATTGTACTTTAAATTTCATTTTAATTACTATAGTTACATGCATTTCTGTAATTTAATTGTCCTGTAGCCTAAAGCTGATAGAACTTTTAATATATACAACCATTAAAAACCTTAGTTGGAATATATATTTTTACTATTAAGAGCTGGCATAAATTAAGAGCTGGCATAAAATCTGCCATGAAACAGTACAAATCCCAGATGGAACACCACTACAACACCAACTAACCCACGACGCATGTGGCAAGACATAAATACAATCACAAGCTACAAGAGCAAAACAAGCCCTGTAAGCGCTACTGACCCCTTTCTTCCATACAAGCTTAACACCTTCTATGCACGCTTCAAAGCTCAAAACCCTGAACCAACCACCTGGACCACTGAGTCCCCTGCCACCCCACCCCCCACACTATCCAAGCTAGATGTGTGGAAATCACGAAGTAGAGTGAACACACAAAAAGCTCCTGGACCTGATGGTATCCCTGGCCTGGTACTCAGAACATGTGCCTGGCAGATAGCTGATGTCTGTACCGACATCTTCAACATATCCTTACTCCCTGTTCACCCACGACTGTACTGCCAAGTTCAGCACAAACACCATCATCAAGTATGGTGACGAAACCACAGTTGTGGGCCTGATCACTGACAATGATGAGACTGCCTATAGGGAGGAGATAAAACAACTCGCAGACTGGTGCCGAACCAACAACCTATGTTTCAACATTAGCGAAACCAAAGAGCTGATTGTTGACTTCAGAAGACAAGGAAAAGTTCCCTCCCCCATCTACATAGAAGGGTCTGCGGTGGAGATGGTGAATAACTTCAAATTCCTAGGTGTTCACATCTGTAAGGACCTTACATGGACACTGAACACCTCCAGTCTCATCAAGAAGGCACAACAGTGGCTGAACTTCCTTAGAAGGCTGAAGAAAATACACCTAGATCCACAGATCCTCACCAACTTCTACAGATGTACGGTGGAGAGCATACTGACCAGCTGCATCACAGTCTGGTACGGCAACTGCACCGCATCTGACCATAAGGCACTACAGCGGGTGGTCAACACTGCCCAACACATCATCGGCAGTTCCTTACCATCCATCCAGGAAATATACAACACTAGGAGTCTGAAAAAAGCCACCAAAATTATGTCTGACCCCACTCACCCCAGTCATAACTTGTTTGTTCCCCTACCATCTGGCAGAAGGTTCCGGTCACTCCAGCCGCACACAACTAGACTCCAAAATAGCTTCTTCCACAGGGCTGTCAAGTTGGTGATGCCCCCACTCCCTCCCACCATACTATGATCTCTCCTAACGTCTTCCTGTATCCACAATGACTTTACTCCTACACCACTACACACACATGTAAGCAGAAATTGTACTGTCCCATCGATAGCCCAGTAAAACTGTACTGGTCGTAATAATATTTAATATTTATTAATTAACCATACTATTTTTAACCATACTATTTTTGCACTGTTCCAAGAATTGAACTGTTTTTGTCCTGTTATATTTTCTCCGTTTGTGGAATTTTGCACAGTTTTGATTACTTGATTACATGTTATTTATGTTATGTTATTACATGTTACTGTTATTGCTATTGTGTTACTGTCTATTGTCTTATCTTCTGTCCTTTTTATATACTGCACCTGAGTGACTAATGAGAAACACTTTTCATTATGCTATGCACCTGTGTAAGTTTAATGACAAAAAAGTTAAATTGAATGTTTTTACTAGGGATGGCACAGTGATGGAGTGGTTAGCATTTCTGCCTCATGGTGCTGGGACCTGGGTTCAATTCTGGACCTGGGGTGCTATCTGCATAGAGCTTGAATTGAAAGAAGTGGTTAGAAAATGGATGAATGGGTGTTTTTGCTAACTGAAATACAAGACTGCACTATATTTAGACTCAAAGCTTGTTGTCTCCAAAGAAAGAATTTTATATTTTCTAATTGCTCCCAGTTACAGGTATATAACAATTACTCTATATTGTCCATATATCATAATTACTCTACAGTCGTGTGTTCCTCACTGGGATAATGCAGGAACTGAAATCATCTGTTCTATTCAATTTACAGTTGGCTGCCAAACCTCATCAATGAGAGCCTACTCTTTTACATGGAAATGCAGGATGATATCAGAGCTAGTAACCTCAAGAATGTGAGAAATGCAGCCCTCATCACATGGTTCATAATGGTATGTTATAAGGATTGCTATGCTTAGCTCTGTAATGGTAATGATAGATGAGAATATTTTGGAATATGATTTGAACTGTTTTCCCTGAACTGTTTCACCCTGTCTCACCTACTTTGTTTCTCAGCAACACGATACATTATTAGTCAAAGTACAAAATTGCATAGGAGAACACACCACACAAAGTGCAAACATAACGAAACTTCCAATTGCATCATCACTTTTTACAAATTAAACATTGTGCCCTATGCAGTAAGTGAAAATAGGTTGTGAGAAAAGTAGCCACATAAGAGGTCTATCATCCACTGTGACGGAGTGCATTCTGGGAGCTCTGCAACAGCTTTCTGAATGAGTAGAAGTAGGTGACTTATGGGTTAGACTGGAGTGTATAACCCATTATAGTGGTCTACCCTGTGTTTTGTCAATCAAAAACAAAAGTGCTCTGGATCAATATCCTGATCTATCCAAGGCCAATAGCTGGCACTAGTAGTCAAGAGAAATCCACTAATGCCAGAAAAAAAGCAATAGATATCAGGGAAAGAAAAAAGCCAATTTCAGAGGCCACAGTACTGAACAACACCTATGTATGCCGAGGCAACATATTCACAGTGAATCATTGGTCTTTGAGCTTTAATGTGATTGTAACGTACCTTTAGAAGCTGTTGATGTAACACATTGTACTTATTAAACTCACATTACTATGTGTGTGTGCTTTTCTTGTACTTTGTATAGGGAATTCTCAACCCAATGCAGGGCTTTCTCAATACTCTGGCCTTTCGTGGCTGGACTGGCTTTGACGTTGATTTCAGCATTCAGAGGGAACGAGAGATTCCCTGGGAATCAGCCACAACGTCCTTGGTTACTGGGGGGGCCTACAATCCCACAGTGGGCTCCTCACTCAACTACCCAGGCCTTGTACAGGAGACCAAGAAGAGCATGAATGGGAATGACCAACAGTCCACTGATGCTATAAGTGTCCTCTCTGAAGGTAACAATATGAGTAATGAAAACCCTGAAAGAAGAACCTTTCTGTTGATGCTGGTTATTCTGGTTTGATTAAGTGCCAGTTTATTAACACTGGATGTTTTTGGCATTGTCGATTTTTAAAAAAATAACTAATAACAACATAAATGTGCATGTATGATGGAATGGTGGTGGTGACTATTCTGAAGCAAGAACAAAGGAAACTTCTAAGGATGAAAAAATCAATTAAAATTAATCAAATGACAGGGTTTGTTATACTGTAGTATCAACAGCGAATGCAATACACCATGACTGATGGACAGGAATATCTAATGAATTTATTAATAATAATTAGCAGTTAATAAAACTTTGTAGGTCGGTGCACATTTTTAGACTTTACATTTGGTCCCGTCATGATGATTTTTTAAAAAACGTTTAAGAATTTATATTAAAATTGTATAATATTTATAATAGTTCACAAATATTTTTCCGATAAATAATAATTCAAGAATAATGAAAAAAATATATTTCTAAAAAGCAAAATGCATAATAAGCGAGAGATGCAACCAAACAAAATAAATAAACAAAGAAGCTGAATAAAAATACCAGAACATCAACACGTGTATGCTGTAGAAATCAGGGGTCGCTCACATCTCAGACTGCTGCTGCTTCTTTTGAACAACGAGAACACTGGACTCTACAGCCACCAATCAGCACCACTGTGTTTTAGTACTGCAGATGAAAAACCAATTTTCTGTGGTGTTCACTGCAATAACAAAACAAGGTCCACTATTGTTTCTCTTTGAATACTACATGCGGTATATCCTACATTTAAAAAATTAAATATATCAGCATAAAATTCCTCCTCAGATCTATGTTAATTAGCTGTTGCACCATCTAGTAAATTGTTCCCATCAGTTGGAAATCTTTATAATAATGACAGAAAACCCAAGAGCTCTGAGCTCTTGTGCCTTGATATGGGTGATATAGGGCACAATTAAAAGGCACGCACCCCAATAGGCTCCCATTGCTCTGAGGTCAGATAATATCCTTCATTGCAGGGGCAGAATTTCAACATGGATCTGCTGTCACCCATGATGTCCTTGATTTCAGAATAGTGTTGACTACTTTTCATTTCCAATTGAAATTTCAAAGGGTATTGAAAAACATGTGAATAAATATGGTGATTATCACACTCACAATCACTCAATTGCCCTTAGCCTCAGGCTACAGTGTGGAAGGGTGAACTATTTATGAAGTCCTTGAACAACATTGGAAAATAAAGATAATAGGTTCTGTAGATAATAGAATCCCACAGTTCTGGTTTATAAAAAAGAAACCCAATAATCAGTTCTGTGCCTGTCTGCTGCCAAGGGATTTGCAGAAAAACGTTGTTTCTATGTGAACTATGAAGATAAGGTCTATGCAATTTCAGGCAGTCAGGAATGTTGCAAGGAAGAGTACAAAGAATTGTACTATAGTAGCCACAATACTTTAATATTATTGAACTTTATCATTTTTTTCCAATAAACAATATATTTTTTAGATCTGCTACTCCTATCCCTTAAATAACTATGATGTTTTTTTTTGTTGCAAATTCATATGCCATTATTGATGAGTAACTTTTTTAAAAAAAACAGAATATGCAATCTATACAGTATGGCATAAATACCGCTCTCAGGAAAAGCAGAAGAGTTAAAGGCTTGAACTAGCATCTAATATGTCCCAAAGGTTCTTGCACATTTTTTTCTGTGCTCCCAGCATTTATAACCAGTACAATTTACGTATTTTAAAACCTTTAGAAAACATCATGTCAATTTGAAGAAATTTAGAAACAATTGGGAGGGCATCTTACGCTAAAGGGCTATGAAATGTCAAATTCTTGATCAAGAGCATTTTTAATATGGGACTGAAGTATTCTAGAAATGAATCAAAACCTTTAAAAAAATGTCTTCAGTACCGATATGAGAGTATGAAAGCAAGAAATGTAAAAACCTAAAGAGTTCTTTCCCTTCTTTGTCTTGTTAGATTCAGAGTCTAGTACAATTGAAATTCACATTTCAACTGAGCTCCGTGACTTTGAGGGCCTAGATGCTGATGGGGAAACAACCAGTAAATCTGAGAAACATCAGCTGGTGAGATGAGCTGCATTGTATTAGAAGTTCCAAACTCTGTGTTCACTGTGTCTGGCACCTTTTTCTGTCTAGGAAAAAGTACTTTATTTCTCAATCTTTAGTGATGCCACCTTACAGCAGTTTTATCCTCCTGCCAAATTTTATTGAATAAATGTTTATTTTTGCATTCCTCTTGTACGTTACTTATTCACTGAGCATACAAAAATAGACACGAGGATCATGTGTTGCTGAGTTTTCCATTCAGGTAGCTGCTGTTTTTATACTACTCTTAATAATGACACTACACATTAACCATTATGCAGAATTTAAGTATAATTAAATAAGCATTTTGTGTTTCAAAATGCCATATTTAACCAATAGCAACAATGAACCCTACTTGAAAGTCATTGTCAGATTAGTAGGCAGAGACTGAAGGCCTTACTACTCCTTAATAAACAGCTAACTGAATGCAATCAAGTTTATTTCCATATTTTGTGGCTGAAAGACTCAAGAACACTAAAAAGAAAATGGCAAAATAAATGCAATGCCAATAAATTTCAGTGATTGGAATACATTTTGTTTGGAAGATGTTCAAAAATAAATGTCAGGCTTAAAGCTCTCAGAATGTGATCTGGACTCCTTACCTTGCCTGGTGTTTTGACTTTTTTCTAGTTTTCAAATAATTTTAAAACTTATTATCTGAATAAGAATGATTCACTTGCCATGTATTACTGAAATTACTTAATGAAATTTTGAAAAAAATGTATTAAGTCTCCAGTATTGTCTTCTCTGTGGGGATGTGCTAATCCTGGCAATGATACAGGAGAAAATTATGTTTTTCATAATAAACAAACAAGTTTTAATTTTGCAGCATTCTTGAGACTAATCTTTTTTTATTTGATGTAGGAAAATATACTTTAGCCTGTACTAAAGCATTTAAAAATTAGGGAATGTAAGGTTAAAAAAACCTAAACATCACTAAATGAAAAGCATTCATAAAAGTTAAGTCTGCATGAACCATGAATATAATTCTTCTGACTAGCTTCTGAATACACAGACATATTTTATATTACTTAATAACTAACTCAAAGTATGCAAAAAAAGCAATATGAGAAATGCAATTACAGCATTTTATTGACTGCAAGACTGGTGTTATGATTTTTCTGATGTTATTGCTTTTGTAATTCTTAGAAAGTTTCATGTTTCATATTTGATAGCAGTCTATAGAATCTGCCAAAGGAACTTGTGCTCATGGCAACAAGACAATGAGATACAGACACAGTGCATTCTAATATCAAAATAGATTTATTTCAGACATTGGATATGAATGTTATTTTTTTTCTTTTTTGACCAGATGAAGTAGACAAAAACTGCAAAGGAATCTGTTCTACCCTGGACCTTACGCTGAAATGACCACTGATTGTAGTCTGGTTTCTGATCTGAGACAGAATAAAAACAGCAGAAGCCAGAAAAAAAGTGAACAAATGTTTGAAAGTATGTTTGTGATGGACAGTATTTTTCAATAAAGATGGAGTAAAGCAGACCCTACCATCTGACAAAGTGTCCTTCGTGTGGCTCTACAACTATTAGCTTTATTGAAACAAATCAAAAACAAACCCAAAACAAAGCATGTGATTGGTAAGTATTTAAAGATGCAGTATCCCCATATTAAACAGATTCTTATGAGGACACAAAAAACATCCAATAGTAAAAACCAAATCCCTCTCCCCCCTCAAAACAAAACAGCCTCAAGAAAATGAAAATGAAAATTGTATTCATCCAATTACAAGGTTCAGGCCCCTTAGAAAGAGGTTCACAACATGACATTCACATATTTCAAGAGAAAGCGACTGTCTTAATGCAAACATAATCCGGGACATTCATGGTAATATTTAGAGAAAATTAAAGATGCACAGTTCAATCCATTTCAATTCTGTTTTACAGCAGGGCCACTACAGATGCCTCTGTCATGTCTTCTGAGTTTAACATGTAATATGAAGGTAGCAAAGGTCAGATGTTTTTACTTCATGTCAGTTTTCAAAACCTGCCAAATACACCCTGTTGCTAGGTTCTGTTGAAAACACTGTTATAGGGAAGATACTTCCTTACGAGGTACTTGCAGCTGATTTTGTATCTGTATACCGTCAATCCCCAAAACTGGACGCACTTCAATATATCATCATCTAACAAAGCCGTTTTGTGTTACTTCTGCTTCAGACATTCCCAAAGCTGTGACAAATCACTCTCAAAAACAGGCAAAAGAAGCATCAGTTCCAGTTTTGTTTTGATGGAACAACGTACTGAATACTTCACTGGTTTACTGAGCTAAAAAACTGTTCTACATCGTGGGCCTAAAACCTCACAAATGCATAGCCAATTACTTCTGAGGTCAAATGGCTGCTTCCACAACAGCCCCAAAACCCCAATACCTGACCTCTCCAAAGTGACAAACGTCTAGCCACCAAGACAGGGTATGGATGAAATATAACGTAATAAATCAGCTACTCAGTTGTTCACATTTTCATGAGGTTTTAGCCCCAAAACCTCTGAATCTCCAGCAACCAGAACCTTTAACATTGTAAGGCTCCATAAAGCAGCCTCTGAATTAAAGGCTTAATATTGTTCTAGTACAGAAACTAGGTCAGAAAAAAACACTCAACTCAGCAGCACAAAAAGAATTGTCTAGAGAGACAAATGTCTCCACATCCACAATATGTGAATATGTGAACACCCCATGGCTTGGTGTGCAAATTGTGTGATCCTGAAAGATAAATTAACCCAAGACACACTCCCAAGAAATGCTGCATGTTTAGGTCCTGAACTGGGGTCGTCTAAACCCTGTTCTCTAAATAATGAAAATGCATCAACCCAAACAAATGGTAAATTCAAGGCATTGCAATAGAATCTGAACATTACTATGAACATAAACACATACAGTCTTGGCCACGGATTGAACATACCTTTGATGTTTTGGAACTATTACAATCTTAGTACTGAAAGAAAAAAATATGATTTTGTATGTTGCTGGGCTTCTATCTGCTTGCTTTGGTGCGGAGATCCTTTACTGCACCAAGAGTAATTTGCATGACCCTATAACTTAAGTGACATGGAGGTGGCATACTAGTGAATATTAATCCATCTCAACCAATTCTTGTTTTACTTTTGCCATAGAACACACACTTCCTGACAGCTTTAGTTTAAAGTGCTCATAGACATTGAAATGTTTTAAATTAGGAGACTGGAAGGCCACCTGAGAGGAGCAAGACTAATTTTTACAAACTAGAATAGTCTAGAATATCTGCAACATACATATTTAGCCAGGACTCAACTTGCATTTTAGTACTAAAAATAATTTTGAGACACACCCCCACGACACACAGATGTAGCCAATTACTAAACCAAATGTGACAATTATGACCGACTGATCCATCAGGATAAAACACCTCTCCATGTCTTAAAAAAGTATGGAAAATGTTATCAATAAGAAAAAAAAGGATCAGTGTTGGGGGAGCTAGGATATAAAGTCTTTTTGAAGCCATTATTCCTCACCTGCAGGCTGCTCTAACCTCATAACTGCTTCATCTTAATAAAAAGCTCCTTTGTCAAGTTCCAAGTAATTTCACGTTTGCTAATACTTAACCCATATGTTTTCCTTTTTCTACAAAAGGCTTTTTGTTGAGGCTTTACTCTTGTTTTACATCCATTTAACCCACCATTATCTAGTATTTTTCCATCAGGTGTGACTAGGTAATTCCAGCTCCTTCTTGAAACAGTAGAGCTCTGATTTTTTTTTAAATACTGAAGAGATTTAAAATGTCTTTTCTCTACCATTGAGGCACTTCAATGTTTAGGATTTGGTGTTTAAAGTTTTTGGGGAAATTTGCTGTGCTGATTTCTTGTGTTTAGAGCTCAGTAATAATCCTTTATTGTAAAAATACAAATATGCAGGAGTATTATCCATTTCTGAAAAAAGAAAACAGCAACTATAAATGTAGCTATTCATATTCATTCATTACTTAAGAACATCATGCGACAAAGGCTCTAACAATATTAAGAGCGCATGGAATTTCCACAAATTATAAGAACAGATTTAAAAAAATAAAAGTGCTTGCATTAATTTATTTGGAATTCTTATTTAAATAATCAATTTCAGGGTGTGTCTATTCATTTTAGCAGAGACTGGAGATATATTTATATATGTATTTGTATTTATTTTACAAACTTTACATTCATGAAATTTACATCCAAAAGAAAAGGTTTACATATATTTGTGGTAATAAATGTTTCCATTGAAAAGTTAAAAGGATGTTTTTCAGTTTTATTTAACTTCAAGTTATTCAAAAGCATTACATGAAAAAAAAAACTTTATAAACAATACTGAGTTTTGTATTGCAGTTTATCTTATCTTAATATTAACTTTGAAATGAACTTGCACAAATTAAAGGTAGTCTGAAGATGTAATTTGAACATTTTTCATTAAATAAACCTTAAACAGTGCCTGTCCAAACCTCTGAAGTCCAGTGAAAAATCTTGAGGCCTACATTGATAACATTTACAATTTAGAAAAAAAAGGTTTACATTGCATCCTGTGAACGATAGTTCCGTTTAAGAAGGATACTGCAGCTTTAAAAACGTGTCTGTATTCAGTTTGAGTCACCCCAAGTGACTTTTTGAAAGAAAGCAGTCTGTCCTTGTTTAGCCCATTCTGTCTCCAAAACTCATGTTTTACATAAAAAATTATACACTTTTATTTTTTTTCAAAAAATACACTGCGTTCTTTCCTTGTATGACATTTCCCTGTATAAAGCTCCTTGTGCACAGGAATATTGTGTCAAAGCACTTTTTATTCTTAGAGTTTTCTTAAGTGCTCTAGAGATATCAAGACCTATAAGCGAGGAAAGATTAACCACCTATTGAATGTTTTACATCTTTTCACTCCGCTCTTCACTCCCCAGCTAGAAGAACAGATAACAGAAAAGATTTTATCCATTCAAATGCCAAGGCCGAAAGCATCTCGGGATTCTACGTCTTATTCCAGCTTCTATCAAACAGTGCAGAACCATGTTGTACAGAAAACAGGCGGTTTTGATGTTACAGGTTTACTGAAATCCTTTGGGAAATTGACAGTAGTGTCCAAATATATGAACAGAGATCCACATTTAGAAGGGCAACTTTTTTTTCCTTTGTTTTGGTTTATACATTTTCTCTTTTTTGGCACACCTTTTACAGTCCTTGCTATGTTCTCCCATTACCAAGCAAAAACTGTTTCTCTCCACAGAATCGCTTCTTTTTCTTTCCTGCACCTCTTTTCTCTTCACTCAACAAGGTTCACCAGAGAACAGTTGAATCCAGTTGCCAAGGAGGATAGTTGAGTGGTGTAAATATGGTTCACAGCAATGTTTTCTACTGGTTCTGAAGCTGTTGTTACAGAATGGAGAATGTTTCTTCCAACATTGATCACTGATGGTCCATCTTAATTAAATACTGCCAGATCACTATTTTCGAAGGTCAAGAACACAGACCTAAAATTACAAGAGACAAAACAAATTTTCTTGTCAAAACAGACTATTTCTCCCTGCAGTTTCCCTCCAAGATCATCAAATCTGTCTCAAGTTTAATCCACCAATGGCTTCCTTTCTGTTCAGGTTTTCTTGTGAAAGCAATGCAAATTCTGAACCTTTTCACTACAGTCACATCAAACATGAAAGGTAATTGTCCTGAACAAACACTAAAGGTTCATAGCAAGCAAGTATTAAGCAGATACTATATACCCTCAACTTAGCAGAATAATAGGGGGAAGTTGTGTTCAGTATTGCCGGCTGTCCATTAAATTATGAATACAACATTTTGAACCCCAGAAACATACTTGTATATGAGAAAATATTTATATATACTATTGATACATTTACTGAATATGTATATACATGATTTTGCTGTAGATAAAAATAATATATCTTGTATATTAAAATGTAAGGTATACTGTATATACAAATATAGAACATAAAATACTGTTATACAGTACTGGCACATTGCTAAATAAGAAGGTTTGAGGACTAACTCTGGTATGCCACTAGCTACCACAGTGTATTAGTGGTGGTAATGACATACCGTCAAATCCGATGGTTCTGCCTCAATGTGGGCAGAGATTCATCACGTTTCATGAAGGTGTGTGATTACCATCACTAAAAGACAGCACCACCTCGTGGTACACCAGAGTTAGTCCTCCACCCTACCTATGCATTCACACTTCTATAACGTCAAACCTAAATACTACACTGTGTTTTAGTTTTATTTGTGATCCATAAGAATAATAATAATTTAATTATATACCTAGAGAAAAAAAAGTTTGTTACAATTATTTATTATCTGTTGAGGGTTTACTGTATTCCAACAGAAAACATCACCACTTTTTCTTCACTACTTACGGATCCATCGGATGCACTAGCCCCAACCTTGTCCCCTGTGCCATTCCAGCACACCTCAAAGATTCCCCCAGTCCCTCTGTAGCTGTGAACCAGGGACCCGCTCTGAAAACACAGGTGTTTAAGGTGGGAGAAAAATATAAAAAGATTGGATTTCACATCTTCCTTAGCACTTATTCATCCATTTTCTAACTGCTTGCTCCAATTCAGGGTCACAAGGGAGCTGGAGTCTATCCTGGCAAGCAACGGGTACAAGACAGGGTACACCCTGGATGGGGCAGTCACAGTCACACCTAGGGCCAGCCATTGTTTTTTTGATGACGGGAGGACACTAGGACAACATACAAACTCCATACAGAGAGAGCCCCAGGTCCAGAATTGAACCCAGGGCCCCCACTGATGTTAGGCAGCAATGCTAACCACTGTGCTGCCCTGCACTTATTCAGTAATCTAAAAAAAAAAAAATGAACACTAGAGTATAATCCATTATACTAGAGTATAAAATTCAATTTGTTAACAATGTTCATTTATCATATATCACACTTATAATCTTGTCATATTTCTTTAGCAACGATAAACAGTATAGTGATTTTTGCTGCACGTATGCCAAATCATTTTAAAATGAATGGAAGAACTATTCTCTCTTGACCTTTCTTAAATCGGAATGAGTGAAAGAAGGTTATTACCATTGTGTTCCATATATGCACACATTTGTCAAAGGATCCGCTTGCCAGGTACTTGCCATCTGGGCTGAAGGCCACACTGTATACTGGTTCTTGGTGTTTGGTTAAAGTGTGGATACAGACTCCTCTTTCTACATCCCACAGACGGACAGTGGAGTCGAAGGAAGCACTGAGCAAGCAAAGAAAACAAGTTCATTATCCGTTTTAATAGGCACAAATCAAATTATCTTTTGGAACCATCTGTTGATTTTTTACCCCGTGATGATTAAATTGCTTAAATAAAATAAAAAACAAAAGCTTGCTAGAATTTGGGAAAAGCAGAAATACTAGTCTGCAACAAACTCTAGGAAAGAAAAGTCTGCAAAAATTAGTTCTCATTTTTCATTCTTGCCCATCGGAACTGAGCCAACAAATTGCCCACAGTACAGAAAACCAGCCCAGACTATCCCACACTGCCTATCCATGGCCCTCCTGAACTTTAAGAAACTAAGTTACCACAATGAACTTGCTATTCTAGAGTTAATTATAAACACACCAAATGTATAATTGTGCAAATCCCTAACATAAAACATGAGACATCTTCCAAAAACATCACCACAGGAGACCAGTTTTAATGAGAACACCAGGCAGTTACGGAATTGAAAAAAAGCGTTAAGATATACTGTATGTCAGCACTTGAGAGGAAAAAATAAACTACAATCAAAATGTGTAAAGAGGTGCAAATTTTAACACTAAATAAGAACACTTATTTTTGTTAAGTTTGACAGCGTAAGTAATGAAGGAATATAAGCATAAAATACTTTTTGTACATGTCTAAGCTGAATGTGCTGAAAAGGCACAGCATTCTCAGAATTGCCCTTTCAATTTCACAGTTACCCTTTCAAGGTTTAAGACATAGACCTAAATAAAATCAGAACTTTACATAAATTATGCACCTAACACTGTACCTGGAGGCAGATTGCCACTGGGATATTAGGAAGAAGCATTTGTTTAATAGACAGTCACCAACACCCTTTTCAATGCTGGGGTAAGAAGGTGGGTAGCATTTTATTTCCTAAAGAATACCTAGTTACTTGAAAGAAACACAATTCTTATTGGGTATTTAAGTGCTTTTGAGATTCTCAACAGTCTTTATTCTTTTTTTGCAGCTTCCGTTTAAGATGGCAAATGTAATGTAGGATAAATACTGTTCTTCATTATCAGTGCAAAAACAAAATGCTAGGGAACGCTTCTGTAGTAGCCAAGATGACCAGGATATCCCTGGAGGGGCAGGGTGTTGTGACTGGACAAGGGCTGCCTGCTGAGTGGCGAAAGATAAAAAAAAGTCTCTCTGGGAACGGTCTCCCCAGAGAATGCAGGTGACACCTGTTCTCGTACCTGGCTAGCATAATATTGGAGTTGGGACTGTTGGTGCCCGGGCCAGTTGGGCTCCATTTGATGGTGTAGATTTCCTTACTGTGGGCCTGGAGGTCGTGCACACAGGAGTCCTGCTTCATGCTCCAGATCTTCAGCAAAATCAAACGCACATGCAATTACTTTTATTTGTAGTTCAAATTAAAAAAACAAACATCTGGAGTCTCTCAAAGACAAGCACGTTCACAAAGACAAAAGCAAATACACAGAAATGCTAAACCTAATTCCTATTAAAAATATAATTTGTGCTGCATTTCACTTTAACCATATTATTTCCACGATTTAAACAACTGAAGAATGTAGAAAAAAATCATTTAAACTCACAATTACTTTAAAATAAACATCCCAACACTTTCCCCAGAGTTTGATGCTTGTTCACCTAACACTCAATTACCATTCATAAAGAAACCTGAAGGTTTAAAAATCAGCTCTACTTTGTGTATTATACAAACAAAATATTTATCAAAGCTATACAACAGGGGCCCAACAGACACTGTAGATATTTTCAAACAACATTTAAATCTATAAATCTATATATTAAGCTATTCAACAGAACAGGCTGTTAGATTATAGTGTAAACCTTTTAACAAATTAGAAGTGTTGTGTGAGGACTTGATGTGATTAATGACAATCACTTCTTTTTCATAAGACAATTATTCTGTGATATTTATGATGAAAAAACTAAATCAAATTCCTATTTTCTTACCTTCAGCGTCATGTCATCTGAGCAGGATGCAAGCAGCATGCCAGATGGGTCCCACTTGATTGCATTAACTTCATTCTGAAAAAAAATAAAATCATTAGAAATGAAGGCTTTGAAGCTCAGATCCTATATAGCTGTCCTTGTAAGAAAGATAATTTAATTGAAGGGTTTAGATGCAATGTTAAGTAAACCTTGAGATTAATGCACAGTTTTTATGGGTTTAAAAAAGTATTTGCTATAAAAAGAAATTGAAACATTTATTTAAAATGTATTAAGAATTTACTAGTACCTCATAGCAGTGGTCTACAAGTAACTGGACAGGTATCTACATTCTTTAGTTTAACAGATGTCCATTAAAAAGCAATAAACACACTGGTATTTTCAAATACATTTAAAGTATTTAGAATTGTTGCAGTGCAGTGTACTTTAATTACTCCATTATAGCAGTGCTGAAGAGCTATTTCATATGGCTCAGTAGACACTCTATTAAGTTTCTGGATTAACAATATCACCTCTTGTTCTGTAAACGTTTATTGAACTTTAAAGCTATGATTAAACCACTGAAAATGAAGTGATGACATTACTGAAACAGAAAAAACATTTGCGAGAGAATATATTAAATAACGTATTCCTAAAAATGGGTCCACTATACCAATAAATAAATAAGAAATTATTGTCCAGACAGAAAATAAAATGTACTTAAATGTACGTTAAACTAATTCTGCTCCTTAAACAATTTTAAATGACAGCCCTATTATATGGTAAAAACAGAGTGCATTCTCTATACTAAGTACTCAGGACAATGAGGAACTGCAGTAAATTAGTAAACTAGGTTCTAAACTAGACCGGAGCTTCAACAGCAGATGTTTTGCAGTCCAAGTTCAATCTTTCTGCTCTAATACGTCTCAAATCTCTAGCTAGCACTCGACACTGGTATGGCGAAGTGTCTTTACATCTCTCCCGAGACAGTCTGTCTCAAGATTGTTAATGAGAGTGACGGGACAGAAATAGCTGGTAAAACTTACTCTTCAGTGTTTTTAATAAAGAAACAGAAGGAAAATGATTATATATGCTGACTCTTGGTGAAGCACACCTACCGTATGTCCTTGAAAGGTTTTGACTGGCCGATCGCAGCCCAGCCGGCACACATGAATGCACATGTCTGTGCTGCAGGAGGCAAAGGTTGTGTTGTTCTGCCAGTCCACATCGAGGGCAGGCGCTGTGGAGTACAAAGTAACCATCTTGAAATTAAAGCCCTATACGCAGTTTAGGGAAGTTCTACACTTTATATTTGCTTCCATCAAGAGTGAGTTACATCCATATGAGATTTATAGTTCTTGTCCTTGCACAACACATGACATTTTGAAATTTGAGTGGCGAGGAGGTTCTTAGCAAACAACAGCTTTATGGCTCTGGAGAGAGGAGATGTCAGAATATATACTTACAATACAACATGCTTAATTGGCAGCCTTCGCTTATCGATGTCAATTATTTCCTGGTAAAAACCTCTTCTACATTCGTGACTACTTTCCTGTTTCAAATTACTGCAAAATCCTTCACTTTTAGTACAAAAACCTCACTTTACTCAAGAGAGTTAAGCTTTTAAATCCTGTATCGATTTAAAGGATATATCACCTGATAACAATATCATCATCATAAAATTTGGTTTAAAAACACTAGCTCTTTTAAACAATACATAACGCTCAGGTTTCAGAAGACCACACATTATCTCTATAAAAGCAGAACATAAAATCGCATTGCTCCTCACTGTTGTCTACTATGCTTATAGTATTCTAGCAATATTTCAGGGTCAGAATCTCAAACCTTGTTCAGGATGAATTAACAGATGCCAGTGTACATATGCAATAATGTGCCTGTGCAGTGCAGTGTACTCTTTTTGTCTTCTGTGAAACAATGTGGGATTTAAAAAAAAATTATTCCTTAGCCAGTTTATGGTCCAGAGTACGCAAATCAAAAGATTCTCAAAACCATAATTATGCTCAACATGCTATTTTGGGAGTGAGATGTTTGATGGCAACACCGGGGGATGATCTGCCACACTTCTACGTACTTGTCTTTAAAACACATAACAATGGAAAGTATGGTTCCTCACTGAGGAGGAGAACACTGCAGTTGCACAAGATGGCCACTTAATTCTAAAAAATAGTAATTATCAATTTAAGAGGCAGCACATAGTGATCTATTACACTAACACTGTAATAATACTGTAGTAATTAGCAGTGATTACTTAAAAGGGGTACAAATTGCTGCTCTGCTTAACCTTGTCTGAATGAAAATACCACTTCACCAAGGCAACTGATGAGGAATATGTAGCAGCTAAGGGCAGCAGCAAGAACGCAGTGGCATTTTGATAGCATCACAGATGTTAGTGTCGCCACCCTCAAAAGGCTTCATTTGTTTTGGTTACAAATGTTCCCTCCCAGCAATCTGCCATTATCAGTCCCTGACGACAGCAGCCGTGCAACACTGTAATCTTCTTCTGTGGCAACGCACCTGAGTGGAATGGAAACTGCTGCTTAGCCTCTCCTGTGTGCGCATCCCAGATGATTGTTGTCTGTAAGAAAAAGAAAAAACACACTGAACAACACTTGTGATTTTTCAAATGTCTAAATATGCTCAGCAGTTACTTTCAGCAACGGTTTCCAATGCAGTGCTTTATGTTCTTCACAGAGTATGTAATTGTTCAAAATATTTTGTTAAAAATTAAGAACTTATAAATCAGTGGAGTTTAATTCATGGAAAACTAACACGTATGTATCTAACACCACCAAGCACCAAGTGTAGAGTCTTAAGATTTCTTACAACAGATGTTTTGTCTATTTGTAAAGTGATTATGATTTATAATTCCAGAATGATAACCTCATCTGTCAGCTCAATTTTAAAGAAATTGTTTGAACAAAAAATCAGTATAATTCAAAAATGATTTCTGAATACGTTTTATGGGATTAATTGAAGTACCTTGTCCACTCCCGCACTGAGAATGCAGTTTGCTTTCTTGTTCCACTTCAGGGCAAAAATAGGACCTTTATGCTGACCCAGAGTGCTTGCAAGATTACCTACACGGAAAACAAACAACAAAACTAATAACTGAAGCTTTTCGAATCACATTTTAGGTTAAGATGGACACAGAAATAAAAAACATACCATCCTTTGTCCATATCCTTGCAAAGCCATCGTACGATCCTGTTGCTAAAAGTGTTCCATCACTCTGTTGATAAAACAAGTACATGGAAAGGTGTTGTCATACTGTATTACCAAAAGCTGAAACATCTGAAGCTTAATCTTGTCAGACATCAGAAGATAAGGACTGCAGCTGGGGAATATGATGATGAGTCAACTCAACGGAAAATCAGGTCTCATTTGGAAGTGGGGCAGCTAAACCACTAGATGGGCCTCTGTCCTTTGAATGAGAAATTCCAAACCAAAACAGGCCAGCAGGTGTCATAGAGGTTAATGTCTTGTCGAAGTCCTGTCTCAAAACAGACAATACAGACCTATGATGCCATCTGCGACACCAGGGAGCAGTAACTCCCATGTCATGGGCTTAAGTCCCCTGTCCTAATGAAGGTCTTGTTTCTGACTCTGCAACTGTGCAACAGGTCTCTGATGAAAAGGGCAGTTTGAGTTCAACATTATAGTGAGCACCAAAAAAATGTATGGATGGCTTTAGAAAAATGTACATTTTGCTTGAGTGTTTTTGACATCATCTTGATTAACTGATAATTCATGGTGCATTGCACTGGCTGGGAAATGAACCTGGGCCTCCCACGTGGCAGGTGAGAAAATTAATAATAATAATTAATGTCTAACTGTGATACATTTGAGTGAGTGATACTGTAGCATAAGCAAATGAATTATAGCACCAGTGCAAGAGTTGATTGGGCAAAGGTGATAAGGCAATTTAACATGCTAAATGTAAAAATACTGGTAAATAGAAATTGTCTTGGTAAATCAAGAAATTAAAACATGGATATTCTCCAACGATCAAGAGAACACCATGTACAAGATTTCACAACAAATCATCTTTAGTGAATACGTTTGTGCAGATGACTCTGGTGGACATCAGTGAGTGGGGTACAGATGAGTAGAATGAAGTGTTGTGTGAACCAGACCAATCAATGGAGAGGTCCAAATGAGAGCTGGAGTGTCTATTGCTACAGAATTCCATCTGTAGTGACTGCTGGCTTCTTGACTGCACAGCATAGCACCAATATCACAACAGGATGATGGACGTCTTCATCCTGCACATGTATCAACAGCTTTCTCATGAACTGAGAATTTTTGAATTTTTGTATGTATTAGTGTCCTACTTGCCACACCTGCGCCCAGCTGAATGTCTCTGGGGAGGACATGGCTCCTAGTATTCAGAGAATAGTGAACAGACACATGCTTGTCTTGGCTCTACAAGAGGAAAGAGACAGATTCTGCAACATTGCAGATATGCAGCTAATATTGCTTCCAATAGTGGCCACCTGACTGCTAGCCTGCAACTTCCTCAATAGATGCCCAGTTGCTCAGCCCTGGTGATGACCAGTTCCAGAAAGCACTATGAATTTACTGATATCATACTCATTCAACAAATATACCAGTGTACCAGCTACAAAAAAAGTATTGGTTTAAAAGTGACAAGTGTCTTTCAATGCTCAGTATTTTTCACGGTTTAATAAAAGTTAAATAAAATGAAGAAATGATCCTAGCATAAACTAGTCCTACAAATAGAAACATTGTAGGATGCATTGCAGACTTTTAAGAAAAGTTAGTAACAAGTTCATGAATACCTAAAATAAGATGTTAATGAAATAACACTATCTGAAAGCTTTGAAGCAGGTCTCCAGCCCTTGTGGTCCAAAGCCAAGCAGGTTTTCTGTTTCCTTAAGTTTTAAATCTTTCTTCACCTCAGAAAAGTGTTAAATCGATCCAGTTAAGGTCTAACTGGACCAGTCTATCCCTTCTCCACAGCTCTAGGTATTGATGGGGTAAACAGACATAGAAGACCTGCTCAGTTCTCGACCCCAAGGTTTGGAGTTGGGAGCCCCTGCTGTGAAGGTTCCCTTGCCAGATACTCACGTTCCAGTCCAAGGAGGTGACATCCTTGTTGCTTGGGACGTCCTGCCCACCTTCTCTTATACAGTGCCTGAGAACCAGCTGAGTGGAGCCACTGCTTCCGTTCTCATTCAAGTTCCATATACGTGCAGTGGAGTCACCAGACCTACATGCAAGAACATCACACATCTGAACTCTTCCTTGCCGTCATTTCAAGTAAAGCATAGCAGTCGTATGGCAATAAAAAGAATGTTACACTGCTCGAAATGTTCTTACAATTGTCTTCTTTTCCTTGACTTTTCAACAAGTTAATCTTTCAACCAAGTCTAGGACCCAGCATATAAACAGTGGTGAGCAACACAGAGGCATGGCTTCCCAACAGCTTATTCTTTTTATATTCTAGATCCTACAGAACAATTATTCTATTTTACTCTATTCACTATTTTACACTTGATACGACCAATTTATAATTTGTGCAATTAAAATCTATAAGAATATATTCTTCAACCCATCTTCTAGCTGCTTTATCCAGTACAGGGTCGTGGGAGAGCTGGAGCCTACCCTGGCAAGCAGTGGACTCAAGACAGGGTACATCCTGGATAGGATGCCAGTCCATTCCAGGGCACACACAGACAAATACAGATACACAAACACTCCTGCCTGGGCCAGTTTTCCAGGAGTCAATTGACCAACCAATGTGTCTTTGGATCATTGAAGGAAATAATCACACAAGTATATAATCCTGACACACCTTTTTTGGGACACCATATTGATATACTGATGGAAAAAAGAAACGCAACACCTCCTCCTCCACACTCTGGCCATCCCTTCTGCGTGGAACAGGCTGAAGAGTGACTCATCTGTGAAGAGGACCTGATGCCACTGCTGACGAGACCATCGCAGCCTCTGTCTGGCCCAAGTCAGGTGTGATGTCTAGGAGGCATGAGCAGAGGGCCTCTGACAGGTCACCTTGCATGGAGCCTCACTGTCCTGTCACTGATGTGGGCACTGTGTCTGCTGGCAGTTTCAGCAGCAGTACGGTTGGAAGATCTGAAAGGATCTCTCAGATGGACCAGTCTGATGTGTCAGTCCTGCTCTGGTGTGGCCACTCGAGGGCGACTGGATCTTGGACGGTCATCTGTCCTGCCGGTCTGCTGAAACCTTCTCTGCAGTCAGGACACAGTGGAGTGGCTACTCCATAGTGTCTGGCAATGCTGGCACATGACATGTCTGCCTGCAGCAAGCCAATGGTCCTTTCCCTTGCTTCTGGGCAAGAAAAACTGGCTAAGTATGGCTTTTTCCTGGCAGTCACCTAAGCTTTGAATTAAGGCCTTTTTAAAGGTGACCTGATCAGGCATTGTCCCACCTGGACCTAACGAGCTTTTGTGTGATTGGCAAGTTTCAATGCCGCACTGCACAAGCTGTATTGCTGGTCAGAGGGCTTAAAACAAATTGACAACTTTTTGTGAGGGTACATTATTTAAAACTATAGTATTCTCATTCTAGAAAATGTTGCGTTTCTTTTTCCCTCCCCATCAGTATACATAGTATATATAGCATATTGTTTCCTATATTTATAGGAATGGCATACTTTTATCATAATGACAAATTATACATGTGCAAAACTTGCTGATTAATATGTTTTACATATTGTGCTAATTTGTATTTTTGTATCATAAGATACAATACAAACATGCTCCCCATTCTTTCCTCACCCTGATGCCAGAAGGTCACTGACAGGGTTCCAGGCACAGATAAAGACTTCCGACTCATGCCCTCTCAGGACTGTAGCCTTGTTCGCTGGAATCTCGACATCACCATCAATCTCCATGGCCTCCGTATGGTTATCTGTAACATCATTTAAAGCTATTCTTAAGATTTGGATGAACCATAACAACAGATGACAGACCTTACAAAGGATGGAAATATCCAGCTCTCCTTAAGTTGTTTTGATCAATCTCTCCAGGTCATGTGTAATAAGTTAAAAGAGGTATCCAATTCTGGACCAAAATAATGAAATAAGCTCAATACAAGAGCAGTGGAATGCGAAATGCAGATCTGTCTAAAAAAAGGCATATGTATATTTGGAAGAAAGTAAAAATTCCATCCTTAAAACTGATACAGGGCAATTAACCAATAACAACACTGCAGAAATGACCGTTTTCTTAATCGTTTCTCATGATGTAGGAAAAGATTTACACTTTCAGGCGTCAGGACTATTCAGATTTCAGAATCCATTCCTACAATGTCTTAGGCCAAAATATTTGTCAAAACCATAACCCATTCACACAGATCAGAGGTACCCAAAACTAACAACCTTAAAAACACTTAATAAAACTAATAATAATAATAACACAAGCTGGGAAAGAGATTTTCTAAATGAAATAATGTTGTCTTATTGTAGGACTTGTCTTTACCTTGAGTTACAAACTGAGTATCACCTTCCTGAGAGGTAACACAAGCATTACTTACAGCACAGATCTTTACTTTCAGTTGCCTTCTCCACTTGAATTGTTAATGGGATGAAGATCTGAAGATTGTTGATGGGCATATTGCCTATCCTGTCTTTTAAAGAAAGTGTACAGCCTGCACACCTCAGGAGTATGGAAGACTGTTTCCTCCTACTTATATTACACTGAACATCAAAACCAGCTAACTTCTGCAGGACAATATTTACTCAGTATTTAGAGTGGTAAAGATGCTATAAATGGAGTATGAATTGAAGACCACACTGATTGCCATCGAGCTCATTTCCTCTGAGGACTGTCTGCTGAAATGGAATCTCATATACTATAAAAACTAAGTAATTAAAGGTCTACTGAAAACTAACATGAATCACTCACTTTCCTTATTATAATCAATACATTGTTCTGCTGCTTCGTGTCCATGCACAGCACAGTTTCAGATAACTTCAAAATGACAAAAGGGCACACCCACATGATGCTAGTGAGCTTTTCTTTCTTGCTTTGTGTTGCCAAGTCCCATCAAATGTGTACTGTAGGGTATAGTTAATGCAGAAGCAATTTTCCTTTGCCTGCTGATTTTATGACCTGCAGGAAAATAGCTGCTTCTTTCTCGAAAAGCAATTATTAAAATATTCTAGCCGTCCATTTACCAGGATGACGATTTTTTTTAGTATCACGGAATTCAATGCCACGCTTTATCGTGCTGAAATGCACCATAAAAGAGCTCAATGAGAGTTATAATGTTATAATGTTTTTTTGTATGGTATTTGTTTTATAAGGTACCTGCTGTTGCTGCAGGTTTCTGGATCTTTAACGAAACGGAAGGAAGTTGGGAGGGCGCACGTCAAGCCACATCTCGAAGACGGGACAAGTTAACAAAGTCCACAGAAACACTGAATGCAAGCTGTGGACACCTTCTACGACAGAATGCTTAAGTGCAGAACCATAAGATAAATTTAAGATGTGAGCAGTCATGCTGTGCGAAGGCAACGTGGTCAAACCGAATGTAATGCGTACTTTGAGGGACAGCGAGTTGAACAAGTGAATGAAGTGGCATTGCTGGAAAAATGAGATGGAATAGAACAAGAGGAGAAATAAAAAGGCAGGGGAATCCTGGTTCATAAGCAGTTATCATCCTCAGACCACTCTTTTAAGAGAGGCCTATAAAGTGAATACAATTCTCAGCTTCATGAAGCCCTGGATGTTCAGTAACATATGTATGGCTGCAAAGCCTGAACTACGAGTAGAACAAAGCAATCAAAAGCCAAAGAAATGTGGAAATGAAAACTGCATTACTGGGTCAGAGCATGTACATATATTTGCACGAAAACAGCAGATGTTCCCTTAAAAGTTTGTTAGATGTTGCCAAGTGGCTATAGCACAGATCTTTACTTTTGGTTGTCTTTTCCACTTTATATGAACCCTTGGTGTCTCATACTAAATTAAGAAGAGTGTGAATGAGTTGTGACTTCAAGAGTCAAATGTTATATACAAGAATTATTCAGCTAAACCCAAAGGAATTTTTTAACAGGGAGCTGGATAATCTTCAGCTTTGAGTGTTGTATGTATTAATTTAAGTCACCCTTGATAGAATACTTATCTATCAGATATTCACTGCTATCAATATCATGTCTCACTCTCAGCTTGCTTGTTACTTGGTACAGGAGGGATTTGCAAGTAGGAAAGTCGGAAATGGCTACCTGGCTATGGCAAAGCTGAAGATGCCTACAGTAGGCTTCTAACATTATTTTTAAATCATTAAAAGCTGCATTTTAAACGCAATAAAGCTAACAAACAGCACAGGGTATTAATTGTAATAAGGATGGTGTAAAGTTCAGTAGATCTTTAAGGAAAAAGATAAGACAATTACTTGACATTCATTAAGGAAAAAAAGTCCCTTACTCTGGCCCTGCATACAAATTCAGTAAGTATAAACTGTGCAACTTCCTTAACTGAGACCCTTCTTTGAAGCTATCCATGTTATATAGCAACAATGATTAGAATCATCACATTTATAATCACAGAGTGACTGAAATATAATTTGTGCGGTTTCACTTTTTTCTTTAAAAACTTGTAAATTGACCTGTTTTTCCTATTCACTGTCACAAACACAAATCCAGTTTCAGACTGTCAGTTCAGCACTGGTGTAAATAGATCATGCAGCTGTTCAACTCTGACAACGTGGGAAACATGAAAAAATGACCTAATCTGTGATCCATCTGGATTCGGGGGGTACTGTCTGGCGGGTTTTTGTAATGCCTTTAAAAAAAAGCTGATTGAATATCCAAGACCTTTGCTAATTGCATGCGCCCCGTTCTCTTCTCCATTCACAGTAGCTTCCCCGTTCTTTGGTGCGTTCTGCTGGGCAGCAGCTGTGGCCACAGCCACGGCAGCCTGCTGCTGGGCCAGCTTCTCCCGGAAAGCCTGCTGCCGAGTCTGGACCACATCGGGCATCACCGCGTCGATGAGCGACAGCGATTCGATCGGCCTGCCGTCGAAAACTGTGCCGTCCTGCGAAGAGAGCACAACACTCTGTAGCCCAGACCTCTTACAGCTCACCCTACAAAGGCATCATTTCCTTAAGTCGCAGAACCCTCATTCACTTTAACAATCACGTGTTGCCAACACAGTTTTTACTTTCTGGAGAGCGTTTTTGACATTTCCAAATAAATAAATATCTCGGTCTCAGGGTCTAGGCTTTGATGTAGAGCTGTGACCTCTAAAGCAGTGGCTCCCAATCCTGGTCATGGTGACCCACACACCTGTCGATTTTCATTTAATCCCACCTTAACTACAGAATCGAAACCTTGTTTGATCTAAGAAGCTTCATTAGAATATTTGCATTCTTCTTCTAGTCACAAGTTTATCCACCATGTTAAAATTCCAACATGTTTAAAGAGCTGGGAACAAACAGTTCAAATTAATGATATTATTAAGTCAATGAAAGGTTTGATTGTGTAACTGAGGGCTCGGCTGGAACAAATCCCAACAGGTGTGTGGGTCACCAGGACCAGGATTGGCAACCCATTGCTCTAAGAATTGTCTCAGCTCCTGAAAATAATTAATTCTTGCATCTGGGCTGCAGACCACCTGTCCCGCAGACCACCTGTCCCCTTCATGAGCCTAAAGCCAATCCTGCTAACAACTGCAGTCAGCGGACTTCATCACAGTAGAGGCTGCTTACCATTCACAGGGATGATTCTTCCTTAAGAAGCTGAAACTTCTACCAAATACACAATGGACTTTGATTTCACTGAAGTGTGCTTACGTAAATAAAATTAACTATAAAAAGTTTATAAGTAACTGTCAGCATGTGAAAACTGTAATGTGAATTGTTTTATTAAAATGCTTTATTTTAAAATGAATTAAAATTCTGCAGAATAATTCTGAAACGAATAAAACAGTACTTAAACTTACATTCTATTTTAAGTCTTACAGAGCTGGGACCCACCTTTTCCAGCTTCTCTCTCAGCTGGATTTCATTCTAGGCCAGCTCTCAGACGCACAATTGAAACCATAAATGAATCAACTATCTTTGATACCTTTCATTACTGTTGGTTCCTACGAAGTTAGTGGCACCATATGAAATATAAAATTTTACCCTGAAACCCTCTGACTGGTTGAGAAAAGATAGTCAAAAGGATTTTATAAAACTAATTGTGAATCTAATTAAGAGCTTGATTAAGAAAACAGTTTTAAAGTTGACACTGATCACTTGCAAATCAATATGACTAATACATAAGCAGTCTCCACTGTATAAACTGACATTGTTTATTGTTCATGCATAAGCACAAAAGGCTGTTGTACTCAAGAAGCTTGTACAGATGCTACCTATTGTATTCTTTAGTCTTTACAAGTTGATGTTTTCTTCCTTCGGTTTTTTAGATTTTCAGCGCATTACTCATTCCTTTAAAGAACTATCTATCCATCCATCCATTCATTCATTCACTAACTCCTTTATCCAATACAAGGTAGCAGGGGAGCTGGAGTCTATCCTGGCAAGCAATGGGCACAAATGGGATACTGTACACCCCGGACAATTAGCCAGACCATCGCAGGGCAAACTCGGGGATAATGTTCAAACACCTCACATTTAGCCCCCCGGGCCCAGGACTGAATCCAGGGCTCCAGCACTGCGAGGCCACAATGCTAATCACTGCGCCACTGCGTCCCCCTGCGACCCCCTAAAGAAACATCGTAAACACACTGCCGAAGAAGCTTTGTTCTGGGTGCATGAACACAAAAACAACACCAACTGTCAGTGTTGCTTACCTCGTTGATACTGATTTCTGCTTCCACATACTGTAAGCCTTTCTGAAGAATGGAAATGAGAGCAGCAGGGGGCACTAGTGTCCCATTTATGTTAGACTGGCTGATGTGGCTTTCAATACCAAACGTGAACGCTGAGTGGGAGAAGCCTGCAATGCAAACAACAACAATGATAATTACACTTCTGGCATTAAGACACTGGGGGATTAAGACAACCAGGATTTGCTTTCTGTTTTTAGGATGTCATTCATCAAATATTATTAAAGAATTTTGATAATTTAATACTGTGTGAAAACTGCCACACATTACCTTTTACATGTGAAAATCTAGCCAATTTCTTACAAACATGTTAATTCCGCATTTCCTAAGGAAGCTAAAATGTTTATTTTACAGTCATTTTCTCAGTAGGATTTGACATACCCAACATCTCCTACAAATTGCAGGATGATTTGAGAGTGTATATATTAGAAGGAGTGAACAAATATTTCAGATGTCTGCAAATTTCATTGCCATACATAACTCTCATGCATACTCAAATTTTCCTTGAGCCCTCCGTCATCATTACTGATCCCTACTTTTCAATTTGTGTGGCACAAATGTTAATAAAGAAAATCAGAAAATAAATCTCTCAGAGTAATCTCCGAGAGCAGGTGTTTGAAGGCAGTAAGAAACGGGTCACCCTGATCTGATCTCACCAGCCACTGATCTGGCAAACCATCTATCTCATCATAAAAGCACGTGGGTTCTTTGCCACATTGATCCTACATATCTAGATATGATACCTTAAACCACTTCATGTTGACCAGTTCTTTTCGATTTTGCAGCATTTTAGTGCCTTCCCCAAGATTATTTCTAGTTGCAACATTTCTGAAACAGACAAGCACTGTTCAAAGCAAGAAAGTCAATAAGTACACAAAGTGAAGCCAACAGTATGTCCCACCATAGATAAAGTGTAGATGTTGAAGTTATTGTGCTTATTAAACCCCTACATTTTCTTTAAAAAGGGTTTTCATTCTTTTAAGAGTTAAACATTTTCCCCATACCATGGAAATGTTTAGTAATTTATTTTGCAGTTTTCTGAACTATTAGATAGGGTCTATGTGATACACATCTTCAGTTTCCCCAAAGATCATGTTTTATCCACAGCATACTATAAAGAAAATAATGCTATTATCATTAATTATAGGCAAGACAAACTACAGAGCAACCTATTTCCTAATGCTACTGCTCAAACACTGTACATCTCTAGTCAACACATTAATCATTAGTTTAACTAATGAGCTCAACTGTGGCTATGGCATTTTCCCCTTTACCTGCCATTAACAGAAAACAGTTTTGGCAATCTGCCTTAATCCAGCATCCCAGTGTGCTCTCAACACAACATCAAGATGCCTTGTAAACAGACCTTGTTGTACTAAGACCTTACTGCTAATGATGCTAAATGTTGAGAACACCCCAGTCTGACTCACAGGAATTACTCTTAAACCACTAGAAAAGCACATTGTGCCCATCTTGATACTTTTACACCACTCATACGGATCTGCGTCATTTTCATGTACTGTAACTCTTAGAAATGAAATTGAGCAATTAAACAAAAAAGTAAAGGAGCAGATATAAAACAGAAAAGTAGCGGCACTGCCCACTGAAGAGACAGATGTTCAGTTATTCAGTGTTATTTGGTGGTAACTGAAACCAATATATTTGTCTGCTCAACTCGTCCCACCACTGCTTGAAAAGGTTAAAACACAGCGATAAACAGGATCAGTATTTGACACTGTTGGATTAACAAAGAAATCCTTGAGTGATACTTGCCATGTGGGGAGAAGCCTTATGATACTGAAAAAATAAATGGTTATTTTTGGTGTTGTAACAGAACAAGCGCAGATTTCAGAATATGGTCAACCTAATATTGTGCGGTGAGATCACTGCCACAGCTGACAACATGCCAACTCCTAATACTGCCAGTGACAAGTACCCTCACCTTAAACCACTGCAGCAAATGGGCTCTACCATCACTTAATGAGACACAAGCTTCACAAAAACCACCAAAGGGTGTGTGTAATCAGGTAATTGGGTTACTCCAATTTTATGGATGTCCCCTCCCAGCCTGACAGAAATACAGCTGGATTGTAATTCATATTTAGCCATTGCTGAACTGAATACAGGTATGCCTCTGTAAGCTGCAGCTGCTGCTGAACAGGCCTTGAAAGTCCCAGTAGCTAAATATTGTGACATTCCCGCAATACCCCCAGAGGCACTCCCTCTCTGACTTTGTCACAACATTGCGGAGCACACATCACAGTTTCTCCTATTCTACTCTAACAGGTCATATACACGTTTGCATTACATATTAGAAATGAACTTTTATGTTTTCTACTGAAAAAACAAAATATTAAAAATCTTACTTGGTGCTGGAATTCATTTCATAAAAATAAAATATAAGGACTTTAGATGTAGATTAACTGTTTTTGATGTCAGTTTGATTCAATGTTATTTCATGACTATGATGCACATGGGTGACCTAGAATTTTGCATGAGCATTATATCACCTCCTGAATGAGTATGTTTTGGCACAGGTGAAAAGTAATTTCCAGTAATTGGTTAGGTGACTGAGGTCAATAGGTCATTCCACACTGCCTCCTGGGAACAGTGGTTCCAACAATAACTGCCATTTTGTCTCCACTGACCGCCCTCTGACAATTATAAATAACAGCATTTAAATGTCCAAAGAATTTCATTTGAAATATCCCTCAGCACTTTACATACAAGAGGGAGCCCACTTCATCCACCATTAAAGTGCACCCATCTGGCTCCTTGAACATTAGCACAGACTGCATGGCATTCATTTAACCAGAATACAAAGATTTCAAATTCTGGAGAACTCATTTAGCAATAAAGCAAGTCTGTGGTCAAAGGACAAGGTATGGCTAGTCGCCATTTGAAGAAATACCAACAGACAATTTGCCAAAATCCACAGTAAAATCTGTGGTCTATTAGAAGTGCTGGTACTGCAAAAATGTAAGAGTTTGAGGCTGCTTCAGATTAGAAAGTACTTACAGTAATTAATAGTTTGAAGACTAAGAACTGATACTGAGATCAAGCCACAGCTTTCTGCACAAGAGCTTGAAAACATTTCAATCGGATTAGGAATTACTTAAAGAAATGTTTCATCTCATCAAAAGAAGGAAAGTTGTGAATTTAGCAATAATGGCTTTCATGGAGGTACGCAGCATATAGGGTGAGGATGTTATCTAATACAAAAGTTTCTGTTATGATTGTCTCTCTTCACATTTGGAAAATCCCATACAGTACTTACTGGTCAACAGACTCCAGATGGTTTAGGAATACAGCAACTATAATTTTAGTTTTACAATGCAGCCTGGACATTGTATTCTGTACCCGGCTCATCTACCCAGACTGCCTCATCAGGGTTTCAATTACACTCAGGACTTATCATGACATACTGACCCCTCCACAATGCTGGTTCTGATTAACTCCCTGACCCCTCACCCTGTCTGTGTCTATGTATAAACACAGATGCTATAATGAAGACCCATTTATTCTTACTGGTTTTCACAGTCAGATATTTCATCTGAAATGACTAGCACTTTCTGATCAGCTCAATTTCAGATTTACTAATGTATACTAGTTTTTGTACTGATACCTTGCTTTATCAAAACTTTTTTCTTCAACCATTTGCCGAGTAGCATTCAAATTTATTCATATCCTTGATAAACCAAACCTAAAGTTTGCTTCAGCAAAACCGATTTTAGTTTTACATTCATGCTTTGTCATTTTTACAGTAAAAACATGTGATAATGAATTAAAATGAGTGAAAAATGGACAAGTAGCATAACTAACAACTATGTATTTCTAAATACATAACATTTTAATTTCTTCACATCTTGTAAATAGATTGGCAAACTCTGTCAACTTAACACTCCTTTCTTTAATCATCCAGTAGTTTCACAGTCTCACAATGTTCACAGTAACATCCAGATCTCACCTTGATTACCACTGGGTATAAAAGGAAAATGAACACTGAAGCAAAACACTCAGCTCCAAAGTGAGATAATTCTCTGAGGATTTAAAGTAAAAAATTACCGATCACAACAAATCAAGCAATGACTAATTAATTACTCACAAACAATTCATGGCAGTAACTAAAAACTGAATCTGTTCCCATCACAAGTCAACCAGTGGCAGACCTTCAGCAGTAATTGTGACTTTTGTTGGCAGATCTTCTTGATTGACCTTTTAAGTAAGGTCCACAGGGATTCAAAAGCCCTGCCTGTTCCAGTTCATGGCACTAACTTATTTTCTAGCAAATTCAAGAACTTTACTAAATCTTCAGAGCGAGGAACTGAAAATAGCAGTGAATTCTATATAAAGCAATAAACAGTCCTGATCTTGCCCTGCCAAGTTCTGTCGACTGGAGACAAACATTCTGCTGGCACATACAAACAGACCCAAGTCCACCTTGAAACCTTAATTGCTGGCCTCAGCACAGACTGCAGCTCAGGAAAGGTATTAAAAGACTCCTCTAATAAAAGAAACTTCTCGCTCGGCCATCCGGAGAAAATGAGGTTACTCCATTCTTAAAATCCTGTGACAATACTACAGTAACATAGTAGGTTAAGTTACAGAACATAACAAATGAAATAAATAATGTAATGTGCAAAATTTCAGCATGAATTTCACAGGATATGCAAGAACATTTCATATCAGAGTGAATGGACTATTTTAAGCGCTTACACCAAACTAGGAATACTAAGAACATTTTTAGTAATTCATCTCAGAAGACAGTAGTTCTGAAACAATTATTAAATTCTATATTAAACTACTTAAATTCTAAAAGGGACATACAAGCCATAGTGTAAAAATTTTACAATAGCATGAGAATTTCAAATCTAACCTGACATTTCATTAAATTTAAGGGTGAAAGGGCAGTTTTTAAAAAACAGATTAAGTTGACTCAACTGGTGAGGAGCCTGTTCTTAGCACAGAGAAGACTCTGTGATCCAGAAATCACAAATTTGGAACCCGGATAACACCAAGGGTCATCAGCATGAGCCGAGAATGTTCCAAACTTGGTGGGTATTTAACAGAAATAAATCATTACACTAATTTGAAAAAATCTAAACTTCAGTGAAATGTAGTTGCCTATTGTACCCAACACATTATATAAAGTAATTTTTTTTTAAATGACCACCTGTTTCATTCTCCATTTCAAGGCTGACAGCATTTGATAATGATTCCAGTCATTTGCAGACTCAGTCTACATCTACGCAATGTAGGTATTCATTCAAAATGTCCGCTATAACAAACAGATGATTATTTAAAGAGACTTGAGAATAATAAAACAAGAACCATAACGTAAAGATCAGACATATGTAAATGGTCAAAAGAACTTTACTCATCAGCCAGTAAGACTTTTCTTGTTAAATACATATATTTTCCAAAATAGGCTACCTGAGTGCTGTATCAAAAGAATGAGCATCTTGATAATGGATTTCTACTTCACCAATTTTGTTTCCTGCCATATACATGGCGATTATTCAGTTACTGTTATATATAAATAATCTAACACTTTTTCACTCTATAATACTTTTCATCCCAAATGATCACATAGCACTTCACAGTAGTAAGGGGACCCACTTATTATTAATAGAAAGTGCCTAATTTACATGTTTCTTAAGTATAATTCAGTGAGAAATTAATATATCACTTGACATTACCTAAAGCAGTAAATTTCAAGTGTTAAGTCAAAATTTTAAAAAGTATATAGACATTTTAGTTTCATTACTATTTAACAAGTTCTTAATCACCAAAAATATGGGGGATTTATAAAGCAACCTGTATTAGTTTTTAATATAAGCAGGTATTTGTTTTCCTGCACAAACAAGATTTATTATATTAAGCAGGATCACTACAGCAATTGGAGGCCCTGCCAGTGATATGCAGAGATGCATAGTACAGAAATTTATTGCAGCAGCAAAAAGATGCTGAAGGGTCTGTTTCTGTAATGTTTTATGACAAACCCACCGTATTCCTGTATTCATTTAAGATTAATAATAGGGAAACTCAAAAAGTAAGATTAAGGGAAAGGTAGTGTTTTTTCTGAACACTGTATAGAAAATCCCCTTCCCCCACTTATTTTCAGGATAAAAGAGCAGCTGAAACACTGCTATATTTAGACTTTTTTCTGTTACACACCCCCACTCACCCCTCAGGGAATGTGGAAGCAGTCAAAGAGAATAAGAAAATGCATTTTCCGTTTTTTTTTCTGTATACTACTTGCTGAACAGATCCTAAAGCACAAGGCATTCCATGTTCTGTGTGAAAATAAAAATGATGCTTGACTCATCACAGCCACTGACTTTGACCTTAATGAGAAGTCTCCAAGGAATTAATCTATCCTGTCCAGTATTATTCTCTTCCCAAAGAAGAAAACTCCTGAGCCGCTGTGGAGGTCTGTCAATCACAGAGCATTGCTACAGCTTTGTGTTTCCACATTCAATTAATCCGTGTCTCCAGAATTTAACTAATTTATAGGGCACTAATATGGACACATTTAGTGAGGTGCGGAATACACAGTAAAATGTGCCATTTCATAGTCTACCTGATTAGTGATTTTTCATACAGTAACAAATGAAATGCAATTAAGCAGCTAAACAAATTGTTAAATGTCAAACCGTTAAACATTTACAATGTGTGCACAGTGCATTTTTGGCATGCCCTTACTTGAAACATCTTGTTTAAGAATATGTACCCTGAAATGGGACATTGTCCACAAATGCCAATTAAAAAAATATATATTTTTGTATCTCCCAAGACTATTGGAAGTCAATGCTTGAAAGCAATTATTATATACATACATATACCAACTGCAGCTATTTTAAAAGAGATGAATTTACATAAAGGTTACTACTTCCAAGTAAAGAAAGAATAAGAATATCTCTTATAAAAATATTGGTGCAGGAAATCACTAGGGGTACACATTGACTTAGCATGTGGAAAATTTGTTTTAAGTCATAGAGAATTCATTCCACCTGATCCTTTGCCAAGAGCTATTATTGTAAATGTTTTATTTCTTCTTAACAATGGTTATCACCCTACATTGTCCTTTTCTCTGTGGTACAGAGATTTTTATTTCCTTTACTTTATTATTAGCCTTTCATATGAACTAGCCAAGAAAGGATTATATTTAGTCTGCAAAACAAATAGCAGAGACAAGAGTGGAAATTTACATTAGTTGTGTGATCTGGAACATGTAGATAGTTATGGTTGATCTAGTCACATTCTGTGTTAAAGGCACCCAAACAGCTGAAGAAGGCTACACATGTGAAAGTTTTTTAAAAAAAAAATCTTTTCACACTTTATGTTTCAATGTGGAATTAACCTCTACTTGTTCCTAAATAGTTTCACTCACTGGCTGTCCCTTGCTGTCCTGGATGATTGTCTTCCATTATCACAAAGGTGACTGATCAGATATCAGAGAGATCATGTGATATGCTATCCAGCCATTGAGCACTCTCTTCAACACTCTTTCTTTGCTTTCTTGTTCTGACACATTTTAATCTGAACATGATGCTCCTTTCCCAGGTATTTCTCTTCAATGTGGTTTGTTCAAAGTCCATTATCTCCCAATAGATGAAATTGCAATGAAAACATTCTTTGGAATCTTGGAGTTTCTCATTTGCACAACAACACAATGTTGTAATAATTTGAGAACTTGCAGTTCCTACTTGGGAGAAAACACTAGTGTTCTGTAAACGGCAACATCACTCATAGCAATGCGGTAATTTTACATGTACCTTGTACACTGCTCATGTTCTAGCCCAGTTTAGTTAGAAGAAGTGACAGCAGACCATCTGATTGGTTTAATGTTGCAGTACTCAAATAATGGATCTCAGGTACATCTTGTAGATTTCAACTGATGCTAGAACTGTTTGGAAATATCGGCCTTCTGTGGCAGATGACTCTCAGATAAGGGAAATACTCCAATTCTCTAGACACAGGCTGTGAGTCTGAATCAATAGGATTGGGGCCTGTGAATTTGAATCTTTCTAATTAATAGCTGTCTTAAGCGTAGAGCTGTCTCTTCTGTAAGGACGTTCACAGTTGTCTGAAAATTCCATGAAGACTATAGGATGTGCTATGAGTGAGAGAGGTCGTTCTCGTATTTTCCTAAACAATAATTTATCATTAAGAGTAAAACAAAAAATATTTACTGTATTTCACAGTTTCTGGTTGAATCTATAGTTCAAAGAGTAATTTTACATAATTTCTTTGCCAGTTGAGTTGCACACCATCATGACAATGTTATTAGGAAACAGAACCACAAAAACTTCAACACCAAGCCAGACAGCCTTGAGAAATAAAAGCATTACAACTTTGTCCGTTTTCTTGGTTAGCTATTCGTCAACATTTCTGAAAATCCATAAATGTGCAGCGGTTGAACAAAGATGCTCGAAATACATAAAAAATATGAATGTCTACCCACAGGATGCTCCTGCAGAGTATTTGTGATTATAGCACTATTAACAATTAGCTACAATAAAACTGTATAAATAGCATTACCCACCAGAAGCCACCTTGACCTCTGTCTAAAACCACCACACTTATGAGAAGTTATTTTTTAAAGAAGTCCTTACCTGATTCCTGGAGGTATCTATAAACCAAGAAGTTCACTTCGTCACTGGTTATACTCATCTTAGCCTCACCTCAACGTATGAGGTTTATATAAAGGGAGTGCCACACTCTGCAAGAGAGAAAAAATGACAGGTCAAACAATCAGTTATGAGGGACTACTAAATGGACATGGTAATCTAAGAAAGAAAATGTTGAACACAAAAAAATCACAGATTTTGTAGTGGAGATGGCCACTTTGTAGAACATAGTATTGTAGTACTAAACTATATTAAAATAACATAGCCATTTTTTTAGAGTGTCGATTCCAGAAGCACTGCACTGAGAACAGTTCAGCACACTTTGACAGACTGTGTGGAAGTTAACCACCCCACTGTTGTATCCAATCATCAACATCACTGCAGTGCAAGACTGCTGTATTTATACTGGAGGTTATTATGATTTACAGCAATGCAAAAGATAAAATTAACTTATCAAGGGTTTCAGTACTAATAAGGCTTACAATAACATTCAAATGGCATTGTGTCAGGAGTTCTCTGCAGACCAGAAACTGCAGATATTACATTTCAAAATTGTAAAATTAAATCAGGGATGTATGTGTAAAGAAGTAGTTGTCATGGGAGAGTTCAGCTTTCCTCAAAGACCAATTGTATTTTTGTTTCATTGCATATTGTGATTGCATAATTCCATGTTTTTGCTGAAGCTGCTAGGAGTGGGATGAGTTGCCAATGGGATCTTTTGGCTTCAGATTTTAGTTCAGCAATGTTCACATTCTTTGTCAGTCTAAGACTTTCACTTCTTGCTCCTAAAGAGCTCCATGGTTGCACTGGTTATGCAGTTTATGTCGGGCCACTGCCACGCTGCATGGAACCACGGAAGCAGTTTCTTCTACTTAGACAAAATGTTTGTGTAAACGACAGAATTCATGGTAATGCTGCCTTCATGTGTTACATCTTCAATAACGATAAGTGATTCAGTTCACAGATGACTGAGTATTCCTCAGAGTTTTAGCAATTTCTTTCTTCACGTTGTAACCTTCTCGTCACTGACAAATGAAACCAGGATAAACCCTTACTAATGATACTTTCAGAACTCTCCTGACTCATGTTTGTATTTCCATGCAAAAGCTAGTCTGGCTTTACTGTTGCAGGCACTAATGGCAGTTTTGCATCTTGCAGTGTAGCTCTTGTAATTCTGCTGTCTCTTCTGTTAATGGAGGATTTTTATGTCTTCACCCATGCACTTGGGAGGTTGCTGGCAATTTCAGGCAGGTGTTTTAGGGCAGTAATGGTCAATCCTGCTCCTGGGACTGTTTCAGCAGGTCTTATAGATCTCTTTAAAGCAGCAGTACCGGCAGAGCTATGTGAGGTTATTAAACTGGTCCCATTTAGCCCATATTGAGCTGAACTGGGTGGTTAAGAGCGGAGTTGGAACAAAAACCTGCAGACACTTGGTCCTCCAGGTTTAGGATTGGACAGCCAAGTTTTTAACCCATGTTTTTAGCTGTGATAATTTTTCCGTCATCAACTGCAGATGTTTTTCTTGGCCTACCTGGTCTTGCCCGATTGGAAATTATACTTGTGGTTTCTTTCTTTTTCAGTATGTACCAAATTGTTGATTTTAGTATGCCTAATTTCTTTGTTACGGTTCTAATTGAGTTTTATTTTCTTTAAGCATCACAACTGACTGCTTTTCTTTAAGAGAAAGCCCTTGTTGTCAAAACATTTTTTCTTTTGACTACAAACTCCAAATGCTGAAGTGAGACACATGGATGGGAAGGTCACAGCTATTTTATGATCTTAGTTAACTACAAAAAGCTGATCAACAAGAGACAAATGCCGGGCAATTTTCAAACTACTTTTGCTCCTGCAAAATAGAGGTTCAAATCTATTAATTGAGCCAAGAGCATAGAACTGTATTGATTTGATAAAAAATTATATACCTGTGACTTGTACTTATCAACCATGTTTTTTATGACAAATAATGTTTATTATGAAAATCTCAGTTTAGACTTCACTTTCTCAATACATTTGGACACCAATGTATAATTTAATAATTTATTAAAAGCACAAAGTTTAATCAAGGCACATTATGACACAATTAAACAAATATCTAATTCAGAATAGCACAATATTAGACACATTACTACAAAAATTCAGTTCAGAGAATACCACCATCTTCAGGAGACAATACTCCATGCAAAAGAAAGCACTTTATCTAATTTGATAAAAACAGAAGCTGATGGTAGTGGAGGGCTTGTAGTTTTACAATGTGAAACTTGGTAGTGCAACTATGAAAAATGTAAACCAATTCTTTACTTGCAAGTCTGAAAAGCAGCAGTGACTGGTTTTCTGCAAAAATGGAAAATCTACAGGTGGAAACGCTGAAAGCTGCCAATCAGCTCAAAAAAAGCAATCACGACAAAAAACTGGTCCGGCCAAAAGCTGTGATCAATTTAAATAACTTGCTTTATCATTCCATTAATGCAAATCAGACAGAACTAAAAAATAAAATAAAATCAACTGCCCATGATAAAGTAAAATCTAATAATTATAGGTTATGCTTTTGACATTTGTATCTAGTTTCTTTTCTTTGTAAGAAAAGGAACACATAAAAACTTCATGTTTATATCACATCACCATAAATACAAACCAGACTATGCATGGCTCAAAGGCTAAAACAAAGACTTCCCAACCTCAGAAATCTCTCAACTTCCCAATCTCAAAAATGTCATCTTGAAGAGCAGCAGGAAGTGGAACACATTATGTCCGCCAGGATAAAATCAATTAGGTGTCAACAGAGTCTTACAACAATCTGCTTCCCTTTACATGCAATTTCAATTCCTATTGACTTTATGAGTACAGTTTTTGAAGTCTAACCAGATTATGTTTTCCTTAGCTTATACTGGTAAAGTATCCATTACTGCATTTTGTTTTGAATTTGTGTTAGCAGCCCACACATCATACTGTGATGATGTTAGTTTATCACCAGATGTCAACAGCAAACAACTTCAATCTTTTTCCCCCCTGTTTGGCAGTTTTGGAAGCATTACAAAACTCATTCATGGGGAACAAACATGAGACAGGAAGTGTGTGGAAGGACTGCAGGAGAAGCTTGCTGAGGGATGGGCAATGCTGTCAGCTCTCCCAGCTCTTGTATGTTTCACTCCATCTCTGAAATGAATTATGACTGCAATCGTGATGAAGGCCTCCCCTGCATCAGTGGATTAAATGATTTCCCTCACTGTCCCCTTATGATGACAATAATGCTAAGTGCTGAAGTGTATTACCCCAAGTCAAGAAATGATGAAATATCTTAATTCATGCTTCCATTAGTGCAGTTTCACCTTGCCTAACACAACGATTGCAACGGTCTGCTGAGAATGTCAATGACACGGCTGGTTGCCGAGCAAATCCATCTCCACTACATAAAAAAATATTTTTCATCAAGTCTCTTCAACCTGACAGTGACTTCTAATGTAATTTAGCTTTATGTGGCTACAGTTTCTGGCTTAACTACTTGGCCAGTGACAAAAATGTGAAAAGTTAAATAGTCCTTGTAGAAGTATTTTATGTGTTCTCATTGTTCCATCATGTAATAGGTTTTGGCAAGTGTACATTGGCCATAAAGCACTAACTTTCGGGAGCAGTCAGCATTCAAGGTATTGTCTCAACTGAGCAAAAACCTAAAGGACTCAGATACTTAAAACTGTCAAGAAGTAGAATCTGTAAAACACACAGAAGAACACCTAGGGCAAGGCAATAAAGGTTTAAAATCAATTGTTGCAGAGTAACAGTGAGTGACAACATTGTAAGGCTGAAGTACTAATTCCAATACCATAATAAGGTCATGGAAATTTTAATGTAGTTTATTTTTTGCCAATTATTAAAAGCCACAAGTCTTATTCTGTATTCTCTTAAATTAGAAGTGCCCATCGTCTTTAAGACTTGGTTCTCCAGCGATGACTCCTGCACTTTCTCAAGAAAGAATGTCTAGATGTGCTCGGCCAAAACAGTCACCAAAAGGGCCACTTGTCATTTGACACAACACACAGCATTGGCGAGAAGAGCGCATGCTAATGGAAGGAGCTGTACATCTCCGGCAAACAGGGGCAAGTGCCCAGCAAGATACAGCCCTGGCCAACTGATCTCCCACTCAACACTGACTACAGTTAACTGTGCGATGCCAAGCCCCTCTAATTTTTAAGTTTCTACATCAGTGCAGATCTGACTCTCTAAGTAAGCGCTTTCACTAGCTGAACCACAAGGGAACCCTTCATCTGAATAACGTTTAATACCATTGCCCAGAATTTAACATTTTTCACTAGAAACTTTCTCAATCACAGTACATTACTTGTAATTTATTCAAAGAAAAAAAAAAATGTCTCGGAGGACATGTCCCACAAGATAAAGTCGTTACTGAAACAGGGAAAAGGGTACTAAATAACTCCCTAATTCATTTAGCTAAAATAATTCACCACCAATACAAGAATGCTAAAGAGCATGTCCAGCACAAACAAGGACCATTTGTGTTGATAATCCTGGTGCTTCCCGGTCGATCTAGTTTGCTTCTCTAAGTCATAGTGAAACACTGACAAACTGGAGTTAGGTCCAATTGCCTGAGCTGACAGTCATTAAAGCACACAGCTGTTAATAAACATCAACCCAGATTGCTGCAGAATTTTATTTTGAAATCAGAATCACTACCACTGAATACAAGTGGAGGCTAATTTGCTTGTTGCGATTTGGAAGGCAATTGTTTACACCAGAGCTAATTTACAGTTGCAATTACTAAGAGGCGTGCACGCTAAGGTTTAATTTGAAATTACTTTTCGGATTGTTGGACCGTTTGTTTTCCACTTGCAGGTTGCATGTTACAATGTGTAAATAATGGGAAAATAAATCTGACTTAAGGGGTTTTGATTTCGGGCTGTTAGGCCACAAAATGTGTTGCTTTGGAAAGGGTGTGTGGATACTGTACCGTATATCAAAAATAACAGTGAACACAAATAGCTCCCTTATTCCAAAATACCTCCCCTGAAGCCAGATCCTATCACCCCATCTCAGAGAGGAACACTCTCAAGAAGAAGAATCAATATGTAAAGGGTGATGA